GGCCCCACGCTCGACATTCAAAACTTGTTCATCCCATTCGTCCAGGCTGTGCGATTTTAACCGATTGAGCTGGTCATCGTCTATCCTGGACGCCATCCATTTTACGCGCTGCCCCCACTTTTCAAGTACCGTTGCCCGAGCCTCTCCGAGAAGCCTGCCGCCCACCGAGCCTGATCCCGTGATCTCGGCGAGGAAGCTGGTCTGCTCTCTAAAATGGCACAAGCCCAGACACACGAGCTCGATGTCGGAGAGCCCCCAGACACGATCCTGAAGCGTCTTATGCACGCGATTCTGCATCCTGGAGAGCCCAGAAGGTGTACCGATGCCGCCGCTCCCCGGGCCTCTCCCCGGGGCGCGCCGTGGCCCGCATGTCAGGGCGCCTCCGGCGGTGGCGACGCGGGGCGCGCTGGGGGGCCCCGGGAGGGGGGAGGGGAACAACAGGGGAGGCGAGGGCGGCGGCAGCGGCACCTTTCCCTCCTCGGACGTCCAGTCGGAGCGCGCCCCGAGGTCGGGCAGGCAGCACAGGCACTCCTCGCTGGGAGTGTCCGGCGCGGCCAGCAGGCCCGTGGCGGCCCTGCGCGCGCGGGCGGCCGCCCTCCGGCCCGCGAGCCCGCAGGAAGCGCCCGCCGCGGCGCCCACGAGGGCCGCGGCGCTCCGCGCGGGCGCAGGCCGCGCCCGCCCCCGCGCGCGGCGCGCCGCGGGGGGCGCCACGGCCGCAGGGGCGCCCCGCGGGGGGGGATCGGGCCCCCCGAAAAGGGGGACTTTGGCAAGCCAGGGCGATGGCGCGCCGGGGAGCTACCCCTTCGCCCGCGTGCCCCTGTTTCGGCCTCCTGGGAGGCCCTCGTTGCCACCGCTGGGTTCGCCTCGAAGTTCTGGTCAGGACGCACCTCAGGAGAGGTCCGGGGAGTGGCGGTATGGGTACCTTTTGGTTTCCCCAGAAACGCTCTTCATGCTCCGCTATTCGCGGGTGGGGCTCTCTCGAAGTCCTGGTCTGCAACGTCCTGGTTTTGGGGGCCCTGAGGTGGGAGGCCTGGAAATGGCACCAACACCAAAACTGGGGCTTGCCCCCACCAGGGGAAAAATGATCCCAGATGCTGGTGCTGGTGATCATCTTTCGATCACCTGGGAAGCCCGAAGGGATCCTCCTCCCTCGGTGGTGGCACACCGCCGACATTGGTGCTGGTGTCAATCTCAAGGCCTCTGATGAGGGTGGCCAGAGTCCACGGCGCTGGGCCGGCTGGGGCGCGGGCGGCCGAGCATGGCGGGGGCGTAGGGCCAGAGCACCACGGGGTGCTCCGCCCACGGGCACGGGTTCGGTCGGGCGTGTCCCCCTACAGGGGGATTTGGGGCGAAGAAATAAACATATAAGAGAAATCTTCAAACATAGCAACACGTATTCCATATTTATTATTATTATTATTATTACTATTATTACTATTATTATTATTATTATTATGTACTTCTTCTTCTTGATATTTCTATTGGTATTATTACTATTAGCATCATTATTATTACCATTACTAAATCCCCAGGACGAAAGTTTTTTCTCTTGGGCCCGGAGCGAAGGTTTGAAGTCTTAAGCAGACGCGTGTGAAATACCCGCCGTCGGATCCAATGAAGTTCGCGCGGATCCAATTTTGGTTTTTGTTTGTGTTTCAGTGGATCCGATTTCCGTCCGCGCGGATCCGATTTCGGATTTGTTGGATCCGTGTTCGGTCTTATTTTTCACGGCGGATCCGATTTCTACCCTGATCAAAATTTATAGTATTATATTAAACCAGGGAGCCGGAAGAAATCGGATCCGCGGACCCCGCAAACCGCCCGTGTTAAGATTCTACAGGGGAAGGGGGGCTCGGTACTTAACTTTGCACGATGGGCGCTGCGTCGTCTCGCGCGCTCCCATCAACTCCCCGCGCGAGCGGGCCCCATTCAACATGAATACATACATCCCTCTCACCCCGGATGCTGCAAACAGCACGTCTGGTCGCCGTCCGTTCGGCGGCGCCGACGTTATCTCGCGAAATCCTCATGGCCATTTTCACCTCAAGAGGAAAATCTTTCGTCCTGCGTAAGTATTATTATTATTTTTACTACTACTACTACTACTACTACTACTACTACTACTACTACTACTACTACTGCCTACTATTATATTTACTATTATCATTATGATTACTATTATTATTATCATTACTACTACTACTACTACTAGTACTACTACTGGTACTACTACTACTACTACTACTACTGCTGCTACTACTACTACTACCACTACTACTATTACTACTACGATTATTACTATTATCGTTCGTATTCTTATTATTAGCATTCTTATTATTATTGTTATTATTATTATTATTATTATTATTATTATTATTATTATTATAATAATATTTATTTATTATTATTATTACTATTACTATTAGTATTGATAATACTATTCTTAGTATTCTTATTATTCTAAAAAAAACCCGATGACAACCTAACAGCGATGTGCATAAACATATCTGGAAGCATTCCCCTTACAATTCACCTTGTCTCAGCTTCGGCCTGCCTCGGCCTCATCCTCAGCCTCAGCCTTAGTCTCAACCTCCGCCTGTCTCGGCCTGAGCCTGCCTCGGCCTCAGCCTCAGCCCGCCTCAGCCTCAGCCTGCCTCAGCCTCAGCCTCAGCCTGCGTCAGCCTCAGCCTGCTTCAGCCTCAGCCTCAGCCTCAGCCTGCCTCGGCCTCAGCCTCAGCCTCAGCCTGCCTCAGCCTCAACCTCAGCCTGCCTCAGCCTCAGCCTGCATCAGCCTCAGCCTCAGCCTGCCTCAGCCGCAGCTTGCCTCAGCCTCAGCCACAGCCAGCCTCAGCTTCAGCCTCATCCTCAGCCTGCCTCGGCTTGCCTCAGCCTCAGCCTCAGCCTGCCTCGGCCTCAGCCTAGCCTCAGCCTGCCTCAGCCTTAGCGTCAGCCTCTCAGCCTCAGCCCGCATCAACCTCAGCCTCAGCCTCAGCCTGCAGCAGCCTCAGTGTCAGCCTGCCTCAGCCTCAGCCTGCCTCAGCCTCAGCCTCAGCCTGCCTCGGCCTCAGCCTGCGTCAGCCTCAGCCCCAGCCTGCCTCAGCCTCAGCCTGCCTCGGCGTGCCTCAGCCTCAGCCTCAGCATGCCTCGGCCTCAGCCTGCCTCGGCCGCCTCAGCCTCAGCCACAGCCTCAGCCTGCCTCAGCTTCAGCCTCAGCCTCAGCCTGCCTCGGCTTGCCTCAGCCTCAGCCTGCCTCGGCCTCAGCCTCAGCCTCAGCTTGCCTCAGCCTCAGCCTCTCAGCCTCAGCCTGCCTCAGCCTCAGCCTCAGCCTCAGCCTGCCTCAGCCTCAGTCTCAGCCTGCATCAGCCTCAGCCTGCCTCAGCCTCAGCCTCAGCCTGCCTCGGCCTCAGCCTGCGTCAGCCTCAGCCTCAGCCTGCCTCAGCCTCAGCCTGCCTCTGCCTCAGCCTCAGCCTGCCTCGGCGTGCCTCAGCCTCAGCCTCAGCCTGCCTCGGCCTCAGCCTGCCTCGGCCTGAGCTTGCCTCAGCTCGGGCATTCAAAATATGGCAGAGGACTGGTGTTTCGGGAACACGAAGATCACGAAGTGGCCCACAGTTGGCTCCGGGCGATCAACATATAGTACAGGAGTGATGTTCTGGGAACACGAAGAACACGAAATGGCCTACAGCTGGCTCCCGGCATTCACAATGTGGCCTGGGAATGGTGTTCTTGTAACACGAAGAACACGAAGTGGCCTACGGTTGGCTCGGGGCATTCAAAATGTGGCCTGGGAATGGTGTTCTGGGAACACGAAGAACACGAAGTGGCCTACGGTTGGCTCCGGGCATTCAGAATGTGGCCTGGGAATGGTGTTCTGGGAATACGAAGAACACGAAGTAGTCTACAGTGGGCTCCGGGCATTCAAAATGTGGCCTGAGAGTGGTGCTCTGGGAATGGATTCCTAAAGATTCCTAAGAATTCCTAAGGATTCCTGGGGCTGACCCTTTTGTCCGGTTTTTTCCGGATCCCGCCCACACCCCCCTGGGGCGTCAAGATGCTTTCTTTGAGCCCACTAGAAACCTATCAGCAAAAGCTGTTAGGTAACAAACAAACATTTTGGCGCATCCCCCCTGTGGAGGGACAGGCCCGCCCCAAGGCGAGGGGGGCGCGCCCCCCGGGGGGCGCGGCGGCGGGGCCGCTCGGGCCACGAGGAGTGCGCCGAGGCTGCTGCGGAACTCGTGCCGCAGGGCTGAACCTGAACGGCATTTCTCGCTTTCGCTTGGTCTTCGTTTTCCCTCGACGGCATTTCTCGTTTTCGTTTGGTTTTCGTTTTCCCTCGTTCTGTTTTCGATTCGCTTTTACTTGCCGCAAAACGACATCGAAGCGAAAACGGCCCACGAAATCGCCAGAGCACCGTCTAGGTCCAGCCCTGCTGTCCCGCAAAATGGTGGCACAGCTCTGGCCGGCGGTGGATGCCTTCAAGAGAAGGCCGGTCCCTTCGAACCAGACCCCCCACCTTCTTGAAGACCACCCCCTTCGCCCTACCTTCGGGGGCGCGCAAGCATGGATTAGCGATCCATGGACTTGGCGCGCGGTCGCCAGATCCGTGGATGGGGGGAGGTGCCCTCCCCAAAATGCGGCCAGTGCCGCCTTGGTCGGCGGCGGACATCCGCGATTTCCGATGGAAACGGGACCCGTCGCTAATCCACGCCCCCTTGATCCATGTTTGCGATCGCCTGACACCCGGCCCAGACAGTGCAGTGACCTCGGACCCCCCCAAGACCTCACCGCACGGTCCGTCAACGCACAGTTCTGGGACCTCGGAGGCCCCTGTCGCCCGAGACATCTTCGGAGAGGGAGTCGAGCCCCAAAACCGTGCGGTAACCCCAAATCCCCACCGACTCACCACACGGTGTGGTCACTACCCCGTCTGGGGGCCCCCGACCCGCCCGCCCCTCCGCGCCACCACACCGAGGGTGCCGCCGGCGCTCCCCCCGCGCGGTCTC